CTACTGTCCTTAGCAACTGGGAACTGCAAGAGAGAAATCTGAGCTCAAATCACAGTGAAGCACGCATATTGTCTCTGTGGCAGAGAACCTCAAGCAGGAAGGCCAAGAGGCCTGAGAGAAGACAGAGGCTCAGAGCGCACACGTTTTCAGAAAGATCCAACAAAACACTTTTTCTCTCCTGCAAGGAGCTGGGACCCAGGATCAAAATGGCTCTGCTGTGCTTGGCTGGACTCTGTTCAGCTGCTCACCTAGTTCTGCTAAGCCCAGGCTGGACTCGGTTAGGTTACGGAACACTTTCCTTAGTAGGATTTGACTGGGCTCCTTCATGTCTCAGCTTGTTTTGAAGGAAAGCTCTAGCTGTGTTTGACCAGATTCGGCCTGGCTCGGCTCGGCTTGGCAAAACTCGGCTAGCCTAGTCTGGCCTTGACTCAGCTTATCTGGGACTTGGCGATAAGGCTATTCTCAGCAAAGTGCAGCTAGCCTACTTTGGATTCAGTTGGCTTTGGCTTGGCTGGGCTGGAATTTAGCTCAGTTCAACTAGACTCGGTTGTGCTAGCTTAGACTTGGCTGAGGCTCAGTTAAATTCAGTTACCCTCGACAAAGCTCCACTTGGTTCGTCTGGGCAGGTCAGGACTGTGACTTGGCTGGTCTCAAAAGGGACTTGGCTGGCTTTGGTTTTGCTGGCCTTTCACTGGGTTGCCTCGGCTGCCTTTAACAGGGCTCAGATAGGTTCGCCTGAGGCCAGAAAGGCTCTGCTGTACTAGGTTGGACTTGTCCATACTGGGCTAGACTAGGTTAGGATCGGTGTGCTCAGTTCAGCTGCTCCCAGCTCGCTGAGGATCATGGAATAAGATTTGAGATCATCGAGAGCTGTTTTGAGAGAGAATGGCCAGGCACTGTCCCGCTGACACAGGCAGCTTTTTTTTTTTGTCCCCCACTGTAAGTCTCTGTAGCTCTGTAATGGCAGGAGGGGAAAGCAACGACAATCCCGGGAGTGACTGCGCCAGTTTCTGGGCACCATGAAGGAGACACCAACCCTGGAGGTTGTGGTGCCTTTTATGCTTCCCATAAGACAAAGAAGTCTCACTCTGCCTTTCTCCTAGGTCAGAGAGCTGCACTTGCATCTTTGGGCTCCTCCCCATTGCCCTCAGAGTGCAGGACTTCCCTCTCTCGAGGAATAGGTGTTCCCGTGTGGACTTCTGTCTCTTGGCTGATCTGGCAGTGCGTAAGTCTCAACATTTCCAGGGGCATGCCTCAGTAGAGCAAACTGATAAAATATGTAGTCTTTTGTGATGGGCTTTCTGTCATCCACCATTGTGTTTGCTTTTTATTCTATTTTTATTTTTTAAAAACAATCTTTTTATTTTACATGCCAGTCCCAGTTCCTCCTTCTTCCCTTCCTCCCCTCCTTCTGCTTCTCCCGCCATCCACCCACAGTGCCCCATCCACTCCTCAGAGAGGGTGAGGCCTCCCATGGGGAGTCAACAAAGTCACATCACTTGAGGCAGGACCAAGCGCCCCCCCCGCCCCATACTAGGCTGAGCAAGGAATCCATCCCTTCTTAGGGAATGGGCTCTAGAGATAAGTACTGGCCCCACTGCCAGGGGCCCCACAGACTGCCCAAGCCTCACGACTGTCACCCACATTCTGAGGGCCTAGTTTGGTCTATGCAGGTTCCCAGCCGTCAGTCCAGAGTCAGGGAGCTCCCACTAGCTCAGGTCAGCTGCTGCTGCTGGTGGTGCTGGTGGTGTTGCTGCTGTGGTGCTGGTGCTGGTGGTACTGGTGGTGCTGCTGCTTGTGGTACTAGTGCTGGTGCGGATGGTGATGGTGGTGGTGGTGCTGCTGCTGGTGGTGGTACTGGTGCTGGTGCTGCTGGCGGTGCTGCTGTTGGTGGTGCTGGTGGTGCTGCTGCTGGTGCTCGTGGTGCTGGTGCTGGTGTTGCTTGTGGTGCTGGTGGTGCTGGTGGTGCTGGTTGTACTGGTGGTGCTGCTGCTGGTGGTACTGGTGGTCCTGCTGCTGGTGATGGTGGTGCTGGTGATGGTGGTGCTGGTGATGGTTCTGGTGGTGCTGGTGGTACTGCTGCTGGTGGTGCTGGTGCTGGTGGTGCTGCTACTGGTGGTGGTACTGGTGCTGGTGCTGCTGGTGGTGCTGGTGCTGGTGGTACTGGTGGTGCTGCTGCTGGTGCTGGTGGTGCTGGGGGTGCTGGTGGTACTGGTGCTGCTGCTGCTGTTGCTGGTGTTGCTGGTGTTGCTGGTTGTACTGGTGGTGCTGCTGCTGGTGGTCCTGCTGCTGGTGATGGTGGTGCCTGTGCTTCTGGTGCTGGTGGTACCTGTGCTTCTGGTGCTGGTGGTGCCTGTGCTTCTGGTGCTGCTGGTGCCTGTGCTTCTGGTGCTGGTGGCTCTGCTGCTTCTCGTGCTGGTGGTGCCTGTGCTTCTGGTGCTGGTGGTGCCTGTGCTTCTGGTGCTGGTGGTGCCTGTGCTTCTGGTGCTGGTGGTACCTGTGTTTCTGGTGCTGGTGGTACCTGTGCTACTGGTGCTGGTGGTACCTGTGCTTCTGGTGCTGGTGGTACCTGTGCTTCTGGTGCTGGTGGTGCCTGTGCTTCTGGTGCTGGTGGTGCCTGTGCTTCTGGTGCTGGTGGTGCCTGTGCTTCTGGTGCTGGTGGTGCCTGTGCTTCTGGTGCTGGTGGTGCCTGTGCTTCTGGTGCTGGTGGTGCTTGTGCTTCTGGTGCTGGTGGTACCTGTGCTTCTGGTGCTGGTGGTGCCTGTGCTTCTGGTGCTGGTGGTGCCTGTGCTTCTGGTGCTGGTGGTACCTGTGCTTCTGGTGCTGGTGGTACCTGTGCTTCTGGTGCTGGTGGTGCCTGTGCTTCTGGTGCTGGTGGTGCCTGTGCTTCTGGTGCTGGTGGTGCCTGTGCTTCTGGTGCTGGTGGTGCCTGTGCTTCTGGTGCTGGTGGTGCCTGTGCTTCTGGCGCTGGTGGTGCCTGTGCTTCTGGTGCTGGTGGTGCCTGTGCTTCTGTTGCTGGTGGTGCCTGTGCTTCTGGTGCTGGTGGTGCCTGTGCTTCTGGTGCTGGTGGTGCCTGTGCTTGTGGTGCTGGTGGTACCTGTGCTTCTGGTGCTGGTGGTGCCTGTGCTTCTGGTGCTGGTGGTACCTGTGCTTCTGGTGCTGGTGGTACCTGTGCTTCTGGTGCTGGTTCTGCCTATGCTTCTGGTGCTGGTGGTACCTGTGCTTCTGGTGCTGGTGGTGCCTGTGCTTCTTGTGCTGGTGGCTCTGCTGCTTCTGGTGCTGGTGGTGCCTGTGCTTCTGGTGCTGGTGGTGCCTGTGCTTCTGGTGCTGGTGGTGCCTGTGCTTCTGGTGCTGGTGGTGCCTGTGCTTCTGATGCTGGTGGTGCCTGTGCTTCTGGTGCTGGTGGTACCTGTGCTTCTGGTGCTGGTGGTACCTGTGCTTCTGGTTCTGGTGGTACCTGTGCTTCTGGTGCTGGTGGTGCCTGTGCTTCTGGTGCTGGTGGTACCTGTGCTTCTGGTGCTGGTGGCTCTGCTGCTTCTCGTGCTGGTGGTGCCTGTGCTTCTGGTGCTGGTGGTGCCTGTGCTTCTGGTGCTGGTGGTGCCTGTGCTTCTGGTGCTGGTGGTACCTGTGTTTCTGGTGCTGGTGGTACCTGTGCTACTGGTGCTGGTGGTACCTGTGCTTCTGGTGCTGGTGGTACCTGTGCTTCTGGTGCTGGTGGTGCCTGTGCTTCTGGTGCTGGTGGTGCCTGTGCTTCTGGTGCTGGTGGTGCCTGTGCTTCTGGTGCTGGTGGTGCCTGTGCTTCTGGTGCTGGTGGTGCCTGTGCTTCTGGTGCTGGTGGTGCTTGTGCTTCTGGTGCTGGTGGTACCTGTGCTTCTGGTGCTGGTGGTGCCTGTGCTTCTGGTGCTGGTGGTGCCTGTGCTTCTGGTGCTGGTGGTACCTGTGCTTCTGGTGCTGGTGGTACCTGTGCTTCTGGTGCTGGTGGTGCCTGTGCTTCTGGTGCTGGTGGTGCCTGTGCTTCTGGTGCTGGTGGTGCCTGTGCTTCTGGTGCTGGTGGTGCCTGTACTTCTGATGCTGGTGGTGCCTGTGCTTCTGGCGCTGGTGGTGCCTGTGCTTCTGGTGCTGGTGGTGCCTGTGCTTCTGTTGCTGGTGGTACCTGTGCTTCTGGTGCTGGTGGTGCCTGTGCTTCTGGTGCTGGTGGTGCCTGTGCTTGTGGTGCTGGTGGTACCTGTGCTTCTGGTGCTGGTGGTGCCTGTGCTTCTGGTGCTGGTGGTACCTGTGCTTCTGGTGCTGGTGGTACCTGTGCTTCTGGTGCTGGTTCTGCCTATGCTTCTGGTGCTGGTGGTACCTGTGCTTCTGGTGCTGGTGGTGCCTGTGCTTCTTGTGCTGGTGGCTCTGCTGCTTCTGGTGCTGGTGGTGCCTGTGCTTCTGGTGCTGGTGGTGCCTGTGCTTCTGGTGCTGGTGGTGCCTGTGCTTCTGGTGCTGGTGGTGCCTGTGCTTCTGATGCTGGTGGTGCCTGTGCTTCTGGTGCTGGTGGTACCTGTGCTTCTGGTGCTGGTGGTACCTGTGCTTCTGGTTCTGGTGGTACCTGTGCTTCTGGTGCTGGTGGTGCCTGTGCTTCTGGTGCTGGTGGTACCTGTGCTTCTGGTGCTGTTGGTGCCTGTGCTTCTGGTGCTGGTGGTGCCTGTGCTTCTGGTGCTGGTGGTGCCTGTGCTTCTGGTGCTGGTGGTATCTGCGCTCTGGTGCTGGTGGTACCTGTGCTTCTGGTGCTGGTGGTGCCTGTGCTTCTGGTGCTGGTGGTACCTGTGCTTCTGGTCCTGGTGGTGCCTGTGCTTCTGGTGCTGGTGGTGCCTGTGCTTCTGTTGCTGGTGGTGCCTGTGCTTCTGTTGCTGGTGGTGCCTGTGCTTCTGGTGCTGGTGGTGCCTGTGCTTCTGGTGCTGGTGGTGCCTGTGCTTTTGGTGCTGGTGGTGCCTGTGCTTCTGGTGCTGGTGGTGCCTGTGCAGATGCTGCTGCTGGTGCTTGTGGTATGGGTGCTGGTGGTGCTGGTGTTGGTAGTGGTGCTACTGGTACTGGTGCTTGTGGTGCTGCTGATGCTGGTGGTAGTGGTGCTGTTGCTGGTGATCGTGTTGTTGTTGGTGGTGCTGATAGTGGTGGTGCTGGTGGTGCTGGTTCTGCTGTTGTGTGTGGTTCTGACTGTGCTGGTGGGAGTGGTGGTGCTGGTGCTCCTCCTAGTGGTGCTGCTGCTGGTGTTGCTGGTGCTGGAGCTGGTGCTACTGATGTTGCTGCAGGTGCTGTTGTTTGTGGTGGTGCTGCTTCGCCTAGTGGAGATGCTGGGTCTACTGCAGCTTGTAATGCTGATGTTGATGCTGTTAGAAGTACTGTTGCTGCTGCTGGTGGCTCTGCTGCTGATCGTTGTGCTGGTGGTGCTGGTGAAGGTGGTTCTGCTGGTGCTTGTGGTACTGGTGCTGTTGGAGGTGCTTGTGGTGCTACTGGTGCTGGTACAGGTGGTGGTGCTGGTGCTGGTGGTGCTGGTGGTGCTGCTGCTGGTGGTGCTGCTGCTGGTGCTGCTGGTGGTGCTGGTGCTGGTGGTGCTGGTGGTGCTGGTGGTGCTGGTGCTGGTGGTGGTGGTGCTGCTGCTGGTGGTGCTGGTGGTGCTGGTGCTGGTGGTGCTGCTGCAGGTGATGGTGGTGCTGCTGGTACTGGTGGTGCTGGTGGTGCTACTGATGGTACTAGTTGTGCTGGAGCTCCTCCTAGTGGTGCTGCTGCTGGTGGTGCTGCTGCTGGTGGTGCTGCTGCTGGTGGTGCTGCTGGTGGTGCTGCTGCTGGTGGTGCTGCTGGTGGTGCTGCTGCTGGTGATGGTGGTACTGGTGGTGCTGGTGGTACTGGTGGTGCTGCTGCTGGTGATGCAGGTGCTAGTGCTGGTGGTGCTGCTGCAGGTGCTGGTGGTGCTGGTGGTACTGGTGGTGCTGCTGCTGGTGCTGGTCTTGCTGCTGCTGGTGGTACTGGTGGTGCTGCTGCTGGTGCTGGTGCTGGTGGTGGTGGTGCTGGTGCTGGTGCTGCTGGTGATGGTGGTGGTGGTGCTGCTGCTGGTGCTGCTGCTGGTGGTGGTACTGGTGCTGGTGCTGCTGGTGGTGCTGTTGGTGATGGTGCTTCTGGTGGTCCTGCTGCTGGTGGTGCTGCTGCTGGTGCTGGTGGTGCTGGGGGTGATGGTGGTGCTGGTGGTGCTGGTTCTGCTGGTGGTGCTGGTGGTGCTGCTGCAGGTGATGGTGGTGCTGGTGATGCTAGTTGTGCTGCTGCTGGTGCTGCTGGTGGTGCTGGTGCTGCTGGTGCTGCTGGTGCTGGTGCTGCTGGTGGTGCTGCTACTGGTGCTGCTACTGGTGCTGCTGCTGGTGCTGGTGGTGGTGGTGCTGCTGCTGGTGGTGCTCGTGGTGCTGCTGCTGTGGTGCTGCTGCTGGTGATGGTGGTACTTGTTCTGGTGGTGCTGGTGCTGGTGGTGCTGGTGCTGGTGGTGCTGGTGCTGGTGGTGCTGGCGCTGTTGGTGCTGGTGGTTCTGATTGCTGGTGGTGCTGGTACTGGTGGTGCTGCTGCTGGTGGTAGTGGTACTGGTGGTTCTGATTGCTGGTGGTGCTGGTGCTGGTGCTGCTGCTGGTGTTTCTGGTGGTGCTGGTGTTTCTGGTGGTGCTGCTGCTGGTGGTGCTGGTGGTGCTGGTGCTTGTGGTACTGGTGGTGCTGCTGCTGGTGGTGCTGGTGGTGTTGGTGCTGGTGGTGGTGGTGCTGGTGCTGGTGGTGCTGGTGATGGTGGTGCTGCTGCTGGTCGTTCTGGTGGTGCTGCTGCTAGTGGTGCTGCTGCTGGTGGTGCTGGTGGTGCTCTGCTGCTGCTGGTGGTGGTAAAGGTGATGTTGGTGCTGGTGCTGATGCTGCTGGTTCTGGTGCAGGTGGTAATGATGGTGGTGGTGTTCCTGGTGCTAGTTGTAGTGGTGGTGGTGCTGCTATTGGTGGTGGGAAGCAGAACTTTAACTTGGTTGTGTTTTTGATGGGGGCCAGAAGCCACAGAGTAGGACCTCAGAGGACGGAATCAATAGTGCCCATCTCAAACAGTGCTGAGGAAAGGATCCCAGCTCTGGTGCCGGCACTATGTATTTCTGTGTGGTTTTGAGGACATATCAGGCTTCCAACACCTGATGCAGTTAACCACGTGAATCATGTGAGCACTCCTCTCATTCTCTCTTCTGTGTTGTGAGTGTGTGCTTTTGAGTATTGCAGTGGACATGTCTGCATGCCGGTTCACATGCCTGTTGTGTGTGTTATGTTGTGTGTCAGTGTGCTGTGTGTACTTGCTGTGGGTGTAGGTATGGAGGTATCAATTTGCACAAGCATTAGTGCCTGTGTGCGTGCATGCGTGTGTGTAGGCCAGACTGTTTGGTTGCTCTCCACCTTTATTTTTGAGGTAAGGTCTCTCACTGAATCTGAAGCCCAGTGGGGTTAGTAGGCTGGCTGGCTGGGGAGCTCTGGAGATGGACTTGTCTCTGCCTCCCAGTGCTGGCCTTGTAGGTATGCAGCGCCATGCCTGACCTTTTAGGTTGGATCTAAGGATCCATGTCAGGTTCTCATGCTCGCATAGCAGGAACTGCCTGAGCCATTTTCTGAGTTTCTACTCTTCTCATTCTTTTTCAAAAACTGTTTTGAGACAGCGTTTCTCTGTGTAGCTGTGGCTGTCCTGCAATTCACTCTGTAAACCAGGCTGGCCTCGAACTCACAGAGATCTGCCTGCCTCTGTCTCTCAGGTGCTGGGATTAAGGGTGTGCGCCATCACCACCCAACTTACTTTTCTCATTCTTATTCTAGGCTACAGATTAATAAACCACAGTATGGACCACATCTGGCTCAGCATCAGTCTTTGTAAGTTGGTTGGTTGGGACACAGCTACACTTACTAGTTTGCATATTGTCTGCCACTGATTTAGAGTTTAATCTCTATGATGCAGATCGGATAAAACTGAAAAAGTACAAAGCATTTACTATGCGACTCTAAAGAAAAAGTTCTCAGACCCCAATTGCCACTCCCAAAGGGAATGACTGCCCGCCTTTGTTTCTCTGAGCAAACTGATGCTCTGATTTCTAAGCTTCCTTCTTTCCTGTTCTGTATTCTCCTTGCAATTTGCATTTATTGTCCTGCAAGGCTTAGGAAAAGGCCAGCCTATGCCAAGGGTTAGGAAACCCATCAAGGTGTGTGCTACCTCATGAGCCTAATCAGTAATTGACAGTTTGATGTTCCTTTCACCTAGCCAAAATCTACTTATGCCTTTAAAACATTATATATGTGTTGTGTATGTGTATGCAAGAATGCATCTTAATGAATGTACATGTGTCGGAGTGTGTGTGTAGTGTGTAGTGTGTGTGTGTGTGCGTGTGTGTGTAGTGTGTGTGTATGTGTGTATGTGTGTGTGTGTGGTGTGTGGTCGTCATAGGGCAGCTTGTGAGCGTTCGTTTTGTCTTTCTGCCACATGAGCTATGGGGATCAATCTCTGTCCTTCAAGTTGGCAGCGAGTGTATTTACTTACTGAGTCCTACCAATGCTCCTTATTTAGGGCAGAGACCACCCCCTTTGACACAGCCCCTTGAAAAGGTGACATTTTGGGATGTTGTTCAAAGAATGAGCTAGCTATTCAAGGAGCTGCAAAAGGGATATTTTAGACAGAATGATGAAATGTAGAAGCCTTGGAGTCAGGTAGGACTTGACACGCTCAATGGATGAAGGAAGAAGGTAAGGGAAGCTCAAAGACTACAGCAACTGGATTTATTCTAGATGCAGTGGGGGAATCCATTTATGGCTTTTGAGTGGGATTGTGTTAGGGGCATGACTGTGAACATTTTGGTATTGTTGTTTAGTTATTTTGAGCCATGGCTTCACTATGTAGCCATGGCTGGCCTGGAACTAGCTCATGTAAACCGGACTATCTCCAAAGTTGCTGTGATCCTGCTGTCTCGGCTCCTAGGTCATGTGCGGGTGTCACTATGTCTGGCTATAGTGTTCATAACAATAGAACTATCCAGCTATGATCATAGTACTACAAAGGCAGGGGCCTGAGTACTGTGAGCTTAAGGCCAACCTGATCTATGTAGTAAGTGGCAGACATGCCAAGGACCATAAAAGATGCCCATGTCCTGATCTCCCAGAAGGCATAAATACATTACCTTTCAAAACTTAAAGGCCTTTGTGGATTAAGGACCATGAGCTGGGAAGAATCTGGATTGTTCTGGTGGGCATAGTTGTAAGAGGAAGATGGAAGAGTCCAGGGTCAGAGAAAGCAATGGGATGACGGAAACAAGGGTGAATACTCGTGACAAATTTGGAGATGGATGAAGGCATTATAAGCTGGGGCATGTACTTAACCTTCCGACAATGGCAAAGGCTTCAGCCCTGCTGACATCTTGACGTCATTCTCCAGTGCAGCCCTCATAAGGCATACAGCCCGACTGACATCTTGATGCTAGTATAGTGACATCCATTCAGATGGCTGACCCTCTGGGCTCGAATATAATAGTCTTTCCTTTTTTGAGTCTCTAACCTTGGGGCGATTTGTTACAGAAGCTCAATGTGGAAAGAGAAACTCAAACCTGCTGTGATTAGCAACTCGAAGGGCGAATTGAAGAGTGGAGTGGCGAAGGACAGGGTAGAAGTGGAAGAGAAGGGATAGAAAACAATTCAAAACATTTACTTTTAGTGTGTGTGTGTGTGTGTGTGTGTGTGTGTGTGTGTGTGTATTAACAGGATCATGGAAGCCAGGTGCATTGAATCCCCTGGAGCTGGAGCTGTGGTTACTGGGAAGCAAAACAGTGTTCTCTGCAAGAACAGAATGCGCGTTTAACTGCTGGGCTAGCTCTCTAGCACCCTCCAGCGGCAGTTAAGAACAATAGTCTTCTTAGCGTTTTTCTTTTTTTCCTGTTAATTTTTTTTATTTTTATTGCTTTATAAATAATACCATTCAAAATTTCCACTTCCTCCTCTCCTCCAATTTCCCTCCAGCTTCCCCCCTCCCCCTCACCCCTTTCCAGTCCTAAGAGAGGGCAGGGTACCCTGCCCTGTGGGAAGTCCAAGGCCCTCCCCCCTCCTTCCAGGCCTAGGAAGGTGTGCATCTAAATAGACTAGGATCCCAAAAAGCCAGTACATGCAGTACAGACAAATCCCTGTGCCATTATCATTGGCTTCTCAGTCTGCCCCAATTGGCAGCCACATTCAGAGAGTCTGGTTTGATCACATGCTCATTCAGTCCCAGTCCAGCTGGCCTTGGTGAGCTCCCATTAACTCAGTCACACCGTCTCAGTGGGTGGGCCAACCCCTCGCAGTCCTGACTTCTTTGCTCATGTTCTCCCTCCTTCTGCTCTTCATATGGACCTTGGGAGCTCAGTCCAGTTCTCCAATGTGGGTCTCTGTCTCTATCTCCATCCATCACCAGATAGAGGTTCTATGGTGATATTCAAGATAGTCATCAGTCTGA